GGGGGGGGAAGAGACGCTTCATGGCAGGACATTCCTATTCTGCCCAGGATTCCTTCCAGCAAACTCTTCACAGGGGGATGCTGGGAATCAAGTTCCGTGACAGGAATTACCTCACACAGACTGACCAGAAACTCTTGCTCCAGAGATTCCGCTGGACCAGGGTGCGGCTCCCTCTCCCTTTCCTTGGGAAACAGAGAGAGAAGAAGAGGAAGAAGAAGAAGAAGAAGAAGAAGAAGAAGAGAGTGTGGTGCTTTGCCTGGCACTATCTGGGTAGGAAAAAGACCAAATTTCCCCCCCTCCTGTCAGAGGGGAGGGGTGGAGGCCGTAGTGACCCTCCAGCCATTCTGAGCGCCTGCTCTCTCGTTGCCAAGTAATAAATCCAAGGCACCACCATGATCAAAGGAGTCCGACAGAACAAATACCATGTAGCAGTGTTCCCTCTAAGCTGAGTTAGTGTGACCTAGCCCACAGTTTTTTAGCCTCTGGCTCATACATTTTTGTCCTAGCTCAGGCAGGATGGCTCCAGAGCAGACTAATTTATGCAGTAGTCAAATTGCTCGCTCACAACTTTAATGCCAGTAGCTCACAAAGAAGAATTCTTGCTCACAAGACTCCACAGCTTAGAGGGAACATTGCCATGTAGTAGTTCAATACAACATCATTTTAAAAAACAAACAAACAGTACATAACATACTATAAAGACAACACACTGCAACAGTTGAATATAGTACTATCCCAATACAGTATGACTTATTTCACAAGTGCGGTCAAGTCCCCAGTTGGTACAAAAAGGTCTGAAGATCTTTTAAAACAAAAGTTCAAGAAGATACCAAGCGGTCAACGCCCTATCCCGGAGTGGCAGGGGGTTTCCTCAGTCTTCATCAGGACCACACAAATCATCAATGGAACCAGAGCTTTAATTCAGCCTAACAGTACACAGTCACTTATTCCCGAGTGTGACCACTGTCTAGGTAAAGGTAAAGGTTCCCTTGCTCAAAAGCCAGTCGAATCCGTTGCCAAACAAGGCTCTGCCGGCAATTCTCCAGACAGAAAGGAGGATTGGAACCCAGTCGTAGTTCAGCCCTAACATGGATAGCTCAGCCTAGCCCAATCTCATCAGATCTCGGAAGCTAAGCAGGATCGGCCCTGGCTAGTATTTGGATGGGAGACCTCCAAGAAATACCAGGGTGGCGATGAGGAGGCAGGCAATGGCAAACCACCTTGGAACGTCTCTTGCCTTGGAGACCCCATGAGTGGTCGCCATAAGTCTGCTGTGATCGCAGCAACAACCCAGTTCAGAAGGCAGTCTGAGCTGTGCACAAATGCTTCTAGTATGGTGTAGTGGTTAAAGGTGCGGACTCTAATCTGGGAAAGCCAGGTTTGACTCCCCACTCCTCCACATGCAGCTGCTGTTGTGACCTTGGATCAGTCACAAGTTCTCTCAGAGCTGTTCTCTAAAGGGCAGTTTTCGAAAGAGCTCTCACAGCCCCACCTACCTCACAGGGTGTCTGTTGTGGGGAGGGGAAGGGAAAGGGGATTGTAAGCCGCTCTGAGACTCCAAGTGAAGGGTGGGGTATAAATCCAGCTCTCCTCCTCCTCCTCCCCCCCTGCAAGAACTACAAGCTCAGACAAGTTTGCCTGCTGGTACACACAGCTTGGACCCTTCCTCACTATGAAATCTGCACTAAGAGACAGCCATTTCATTGGAGTGCTGTTCCATCCTTGCTCTTTAAGACAGTGCTCCAATATCCATTGGTCTTTCCTGCCGCTGTGCCGGCAGTCCCAAATCGTCTCACAAATCTCTGTCTGTATTGCTTGCCGCAGCCATTCCCATATTGTATTGACTCAGCATTGGCTGTCTGCATCATTTTATTGCTCTGTAGTGGCAACTCCAAGGTCACTACAGCGTCTCACCGGGTTACGTGGATCTGGTTTGCAACTGGAGCAATGGCTCCTCCTCGCCCCTGAGCCATTGTGAGCGATAAACAGACAACTGGAGCCAAACCCCTCCCCCCCCCCAGTTTTTCTGGGGTTTCTTTGCTGGTGGGTTAGAAGCACGCACGCCCCTGAACTGTGTTATTTCCTGGGGCAGTCCCCAGAACACCCTGCCTGGCAGCCACTGGGTGTTTTGTGTTTTTTATCCATCTCGTTCACTTTCCAGCCCCCCTCTGCCTCCCCCTCCGCCAGGTCACCCCCCTTTACTTTCTGGGGGGGGGGTTGCAGGTGCCATTTCCTCCCTGCAGCACAGTGCCCTGCCAGCACCCTGGAAGGCCACTCCTCCCCCTCTCGTGCATACTGTCTCTCGCACACGCCCCTTCAGTCACCATGGTGAGGTCTGATGCAGACAGCAAGCTTTTATCTCGAGCCAGAATGGGAGGGAAAGGGGAACAATGTACGATAACGCCACAACAGACCGAGACTGCTTTACACAGCAGATGCAGATTCAGCCAGTGAGAGAGGTGTGATGAGGCTGGGGAATGGACAGCAGCCCTAGGAAGTGGGCAACAGCTGGCTCCTGGCAGATGCAGAGGGAGGGTCATGAAGATGGTCCTGTCTGGGCCGCGGGGCCACAGGGTCCATTGAGGGTTTCAAAGGCTAAGACCAACATGCCCCATGGCTTGACACAGAGCTATAGTAGAGGGTCCGCTTTCAAAATATTGGTGGTTATGGTGGCGGAAAATGCCATCAAATGCGTAACAACTCTGGGCTTCCTTGGTGGTCTCCCATTAAAGTACTAACCAGGGCCAACCCTGCTTAGCTTCTCCCATCTGACAAGATCAGGCTAGTCTGGGCCATCTAGATCAGTGCTCACCTGCCAATGACCACACTCACAGCTCCCCCGAAGAGGACAGCACAAGTGGAGACTTAGGCTCCTTTCAGACAGCCTTCATAATTCGTTTTGGTGGCAAGTGGCAAATAGTTTTTTTGTGTCACTTTAGACACAACCATTTTAGCAACCAACTGCTAATGGATTTTATTTACCTGTTCATTCAAAGCCGCTTGCATCCCATTGGTAAAGCAGGGTTGAGCCATTTTTGAGGGAAACTGCTTTCTTCCATTTTCACCTCTTCGCTGCGCTTCTGAATCGCTGTGGTGTGCTGTTTAAAATATCCCTAGCGCTTCCTACAATCTCCATGCCCTTTTTCACCGTGCGATCTTTTCCCCCCGAATGTTCTAAGTTCAGCGCCATAGCGCTAAACCAATATAGCACTTCAGTGTTACATTGGCAACATTGACTCCATTGGTAGACTAGGGCCCTTTCTGCATCTGTATTTAGCAGTGGTTTCAGAGCGCATCCTTTTCTTCCCTTCTACATTCCGTCCCACTTTCACTTCAGGTTTGTTGCAGAGTTGTTGTTTTTTCTTTTCTGCATCCGTTTCACAGGAATCGCTTTCGGTACGCTCTCGCCCCACATTTCTCAAAACTTGTTTTGCTGTTATTCTTAGTTCTGATCCGATTTCAAAACGCTAAAGTAGAAGTTTTTCTGTGTGTCTTTAAACGCCACCTACTTCCCTCCCCTATTTCCACCCTCTGCCCGTCTGTGGGAGGAGTATAAATGCTTCAATGATAATAGTAGAACAGGAGGGGGCGCTATCCTATACTTCATTTGCTTACTATATATGTCACTTGATGCCGTGAACACTTCCATCCAATTTGTTTTTTGAATCTAATAAAGTTCCATTCAGAGGGATTATTATAATTTTATTAGGTAAAATTTTAATCCCCTTTTTTTAGTTTACTTGAGGAAAAGTAATCTGATGCAAATCTTTCTTAAGTACTGCAATTGCCTAAGAAGGACTGCCTTCCCTTCGTTTTTTCAAGGATAATTAACACATGAACAGATCGGCTGCTGGCTCAAAAGTTTAATAAACATGATGAGACAGAACTCTGCAGAAAGGAAGAGAAACTTGAAGAACAATTTTTTCTTGTTGCTAGTCCATGCAAACCTTTCTTGCATGGCCACAAATGTTGCGACATCACACATTTTCAATCAGGAAAATACAGAGAGAATAATCTGCATAGAGTGGAGTTTCCGGTACCAACATCCGCTGAAAATTAACATATGCAGAAATGAAAGCAAGAAAGACTAATCAAAGGCTAAAGTGCTGGGAAACTCTAAAGTAAAGACTGAATGCAGAAAATGCCTATATTGATTTAGCGCTATAGCGCTCAACTTAGACTATTCAAGGGGAGAGAGCAAGGAAGGTTGCATGGCGAAAAAGGGTGGGAGAGAAAGAGGCGCAGTTTGAAATGACCATAGCGCTTCAGAGACGACTCATTAAAGGAATGAAGTTTGCTGTATGAAACCCCCATTCCTGTATTGCTTTATTCAGAATTGGGCCAACAACAGATAACATCCGGTTTAGAACGATAATGTGAAAGGGGCCTTAGCTATCTTCCTTTCAAACATCAGGCAGTTCAGGTGGCCTCAGACCAAGTAAACGAAGCCCCTTGTACAGCCAAATGAAAAACTCAACTTGGGCAATTTCCTCTAGGAGATAACCCAGCCTTCACCTGGGTTCTGGATATGGCCCAAGGCTGAGCAAATGCAAAGGGTGAATGTTTTAATTCAGGGGTCTGTCAACAAAGCATCTTATCATTGACCTGCCTGGCCTTCTCCCTCCCTCTCTTTGCAATTTGTCCTGATTGTGCTTTCCAAATAGCCAGGAGTCTTGGGAGGCCACATAAAAGAAAAATGAATGCTTTTTAGCTCCCAGTTAGTCATCATACCCAATTATCAGATAGCGTGAAACGGTTCTG